AAAAATGAATGGAAGAAACAGAACTCAAGAGATTATTAAATAAGCTAGACGGTTGGGGGTGCTGGAGAAGGTAGTATTAAGAGAGACCAAGTATTGGAATAAATGAGGCAGTTAAGAAGTTCCGGGGCATCAAAGGACTGACCTTCAGACTTCCGGGTGTTACAAAGGTCTGGCAATCCACAACAACAGACAGAGGGCCTCAGCGGCAGCTCCCTAAAGCCTCTGACAGGCACACTCAGTCCTGTCAGCTTGGATTCAGCCCTGCCAACGCCAGCAAACAAACACATGCATTCTTCCCAGAGCTGACACCCCATACAACACGGCCTCTCTACAGGGCCTGTTTACTTAAGAAGCCAGATGCTTTGATGTTGGAGTAGAAGTTGGGAAGTTATGTTTAAAGAAGTAGTTAGTGACAGGAGCAGAGGGAGGGCAGAAAATAAGCAACAGTTCCTGGCTTTACTCATCATAAGTTTAAAAAGTTTTAAGGAAATTGTCAAATGGGCTGTGCAAAGGAATGAGAAGTAAGAAAATTATGTCAGTCACCACCACAACTCTGGCCAAGGCATTTCCTCAGTTCCTTTAAGACAGTTTCATGCCTCCCCTCAAAGGGGTGCTTACAGGAGAAATGTTTTGAAGCAACCCAGCTTAGCAACCAACATTAATAAAGTCTTCTAGGCCTGCTCAATTTCACTCATGTACAAAGGTTATAAATGTCTGAATACTCCAAGCAGTTGAAGGAAAGAATCAGTTAAAAATGTGGCATCAGGAAGCTGAGGCAGGAGAATTGCCTGAACCCAGGAGACGGAGGTTGCGGTGAGCCGAGATCGCGCCATTGCACTCCAGCCTGGGTAACAAGAGCGAAACTCCNTTGCGGTGAGCCGAGATCGCGCCATTGCACTCCAGCCTGGGTAACAAGAGCGAAACTCCGTCTCAAAAAAAAAAAAAAAAAAAAAAAAAAAATCAATAAAAAAAAAAAAAAAAAAAAAAAAAAAAAAAGTGGCATGAAAGCAGTTTTCAGTTCAATGCAAAAGGAAGACTATGGAGTCTAAGAAAAGAGCATTTATAAATGATTCTTAATAATAGCTTCGTGAGTGCTAATAATGTGCCATTGTCCTAATGAGTTATTACATAAGGTATGTATATATTATACAACACAATGTGATATGTTGTATTACATACTATAACTCATTACAACTAATACAATGTAACATTACATTGTATATGTATATATTGTGATACAAATATGCATTATGTAATATACATATATATCATGTATATATAATTTAACACACACTCATTTAATTCTATCACTCTATGAATTAAGTACTCTTATCTTCACTTTACAGATTAGGAACTGAGACACAGAAAGCTTAAGTAACTTACCCAAGATCACACAGTGACATGGCCAGGATTCGAATGCAGACAGTCCAGACAAGGCAGTGCTATACTGCCTTCCCATGATATGTCAAACCCTTAGCACAAAATTAGGGAGAATAATTTTTGGAAAGGTATAACTATTTATCCCTCTCCTTTGTTTTCTTACCATCCCTCTTGTTTTTTTAGAAATAACCAATATTTTTTATTTTCACTTTCCCATGAGTCTATCATAGCTAATTTATAATACTATAACTAGAAAGGAAAATGTTTTCCTCTCCTGCCTCAACTCCTAAAATAGAGCACTTACTCATTAGAACTTCTATGTGGAAAATATATACTGCATGTAATAAACCCAATACACTTGAAATATATTTTAAATTAATAGATTGAAAAAAAAATGATACGGGAGAAAAACATTAAAGATAAAAAGGGAGGCTTGGGCAAAGAGAAAAACCTGTTAGATTTCATGGACAAAGAAGCCTGAGTGGTCTTCAGGACACCAGTCCCCTAAAACCATAATATAAATGCACTATCATGTTTTAGCTTTACTGTGCTTTCTTAAGAAGACAGGTTAAATGCTAATACAAATATAAGCCACAGAAACAGTCCTAGTAGTTTTCTACAACCTTCTGAGGCTTTTCGTTCTCCAGTCTAAATGATCTTTTCTTTGTATCTTGGCACCCCCAGCATCTAGTACAGATCTAGGCATTTGGAGGGCATTCACGTACATGGATGATATGAATTAATCTGGCTTGAAATGAACAGCACCAAGTTAAAAGAAATAAGAGAACCGTGAACTTTTGATTTTTCTTGGGACACAAATCTTGTCATATTATATAGGAAAAATAATTCTAAGAGCACTTTCCTTCCCCAGTTGTACAAAGTATACAATGATCTCTGATAAAAAGTTGTTCCGTCATGCTGATACTTTTATTTCACACTGTTTTATAAAGGGTTCCAAAATACTAGATCTCTTTAATACAGGTCAGGATTCTTTATGACTTTTAAAAACAAATAAATAAATAGAACAGGTTACTACATAACAATTCTTGGCTAAGGAAGTGGTACTTTACTTAACCATTTTTAAGGTAAAGGATATTAAACAAAGGCTCCACTTTTTTTTTTTTAACCAGATACAGAAAGGATGAGATCTCTGAAGAAGAGACCACAGATATCAACAAGTGCAATTTTTCTTTTTTTTTTTTCTGAGACAGAGTCTTGCTCTGTCGCCCAGACTGGAGTGCAGTGGTGTGATCTAGGTTCACTGCAACCTCCGCCTCCTGGGTTCAAGTGATCCTCATGCCTCAGCCTCCAGAGTAGTTGGGATTACAGGTGCATGCCACTGAGCCTGGCTAATTTTTGTATGTTTAGTAGAAACAGGGTTTCACCATGTTAGCCAGGCTAGTCTTGAACTCTTGACCTCAAGTGATCCACCTGCCTTGACCTCCCACAGTGCTAAGATTACAGATATGAGCCATGGTACCTGGCCAAAATAGCTATTTTAAATAAGGTCACTGAAAAAAGACTGGGAGAGAAAAGCTAAAAAAAAAAAAAAAAAAAAAAAAAAAAAAAAAAAAAAAAAAAAAAAAAAAAAAAAAAAAAAAAAAAAAAAAATCATTAGAAACAGCTAAATGAAAGAAATAAAAGAAAATTTCTTAAAGAAGGAGTGGTTTTAGTTTGGCTCTTCCATAGATTTGGCCTTAGAACCTCTGAGCTAGTTTTCTCAACCTCTTGCTTTGGAATCAATATATTACAAATGACATATCAATTCAAACTAACCAGGAATACTCTGACTCAAGGAATAAACCAAGGCAGGGCATAGTAGCTCAGGCCTCTAACCCCAGCTCTGTGGAAGGCTAAGGTGGGCAGAGCACTTGAGCCCAGGAGTTCAAGACCAGCCTGGGCAACTGGGCAAAACCCTGTCTCTAAAAAAGAAAAAAAGAAAAAAGAAAAGAAAAGAACAATTAGCTAGATGCATGTGCCTGTAGTCCCAGCTGCTTGGGAGGCTGAGGTGGGAGGATCACTTGCACCTAGGAGGTCAGGGCTGCAGTGAGATGTGATCACACCAATGCATTCCAGCCTGGTCAAAAGAGTGAGACCCCATCTCAAAAAAATAGTAATTAAACAAAAATTAGCTAGGCATAGTGGTGCACACCTGCAGGCCCAGCTACTCAGAAGGCTGAGGTAAAACCCTGTCCAAAAAAAAAAAAAAAAAAGGAGTAAATCTAAATCCAGGAGTAGCAGCAGTCCTAAAGTTAGGTCAACCAGCAAGAGAAGAATTTGAAATATGGAATAAGAATGCTGTGTCCAGCTGGCTCAAGGAAGGAAGTAGTCCAGTATAAATTAAGCATCAGTGTTGTAAAGCCTTTCTCAACCCCCCACTGTGAGAAGGCAGTCTATTCGATTATTTTTATTCTTTCTCATCAAGTAGGAAGACTTCCCAGTACTCATTCTACCCAATCTGTCCCACCCTTCAGCACTAGCTTGGTCTCCTTCATACAGCTGCTGCTCCAGCTGCACTAGGCACACTTATTCCTGAACACTTGTGTCTTGTGTCCCCAGATCAGAGAATTCTATCACAGGTAACAAGTATGGTCCAGATAACCAGGCAGTCCAAAGGGAAACTGAGGCTTGGCTGATATTGAAATGTGGTTACAGAAGGACAAGTGCAGGCACAGAGCCTTGGCCACCCATCCCTGCCCCCAAGTGCAATTCATTCTCTTTGAAAGAGGAAAACAAGCAAGGAAGAAAATATATAGAATTGAAAATACATTATGCAAATGTAGCTAGCAAGGATTAAATTGTTAATTACAGAGAAAAAGGAGGAAAATGCCCAAGTTGTGCAGAAGCAAGAAGCCAGGACTTTTTTAATAACTGGTTTTGTCAATCCAGTAGTGTGCAAAGGTTGAGCTTGCTTGTCCCCAGGGACAGAAATACCACAATTCTGAAATACCACAATTCTGAAAGTCTGGCTCAAAGCAGAATGTATGCAATTCCTTTCTTAAGTATTGAAAATCTTATCATCACAGGATGTAGACATAGCTAGTCAGGGTTCCGTACCACGACAGAAGGTCAAATCTGAAGGAGTAAGAGAGATCACATAAATACTGCCATCTCATTTCCAAGCTAGTCCCCTTAACTATCAAAACACACGGTGACCCGACTGCTGCTTCTGGCCTCCTGAACTCCCGCCTCTCCACCCCGAAAGTACTGACCCAGAGAGGACACACCTTTGCTTCTGCGTAGCCCAACTTCTGCAACCGCTCAGAGTTAATTACTCCTTCAGCTTCTTGGGGCCTAATAGCTTTACTGGGTCCTGATTATTTATACAGACGGAAAACAATTACGCTCAAGAGATTTTGACAACTTAAAAAAAAAAAAAAAAAGAATGCGGTGGAAGTCTAAGATTGCCTCCCCTGTGACGAAACACAGCCCCGCCGGCCGCCCAGACCCGACTCCGCCCGCCTGGCCGCCGCAGTTTCGGAGCTGCGACCCGGGGGGTGAGGGCGCGGTAGGGCCGGGGTCTCCTTCGGGAGTCGCGGGGCGCGCGGGGCGCGCGGGCCGGAGGGGCGCGCGGGCGGCACCTCGAAGCCGAGCGGCGCCCGGCCCCGGCACCCGCTCACCTGGTGCGTGTTGTTGGCCAGCTTAGCGACGAAATCCCGGACCCGGCCGCATTCCTCGTCCTCGCCGGGCGCGCTGCGACGCCAACGGCCGCCGCGGGGAAACGCGCCCCCGGCCGCTGCCGCCCGCAGCCCCCAGCTCACCCCGATGGGGCCGGACCAGCGCGGCAGCGGCGCAGCAGGCGGCGGCGGCGCGTCCAGCCGGTCCTGGCCGAAGGTCGCAAGCGGCAGCAGCTGCAGGAGGAGAAAGAGGCCGAGGCCGTGGAGTCGGGACAGGAGGACGGCCGCAGCTCCTCGGGGTCGCTCCATCGCCGCCGAATGCCTACGCCGCCGACACCTGCCGCCCGGCGCGCCCGCCCACCCCCGCCGGCGCGCGCCACACCCCCGAGCCGAGCGCGGCGCTCCTTGGATACGCGCGGCCGGGCCTCTCCGCCCCATAGGCTGGCCGCCTGTCCCTCTTTCCCAGCCCACTCCTCATTGGCTCGCGTCGCCTCCGGCTTCGGGGGTCCTGGATTCGGATGCCAAGATGCGGGACTGATTGGCTGGAACGTGGCAGAGACTGCTGAGGTCAACCCCGCCTCGCCCAGCGTCTCCCGGGCCCGGCTGGCGGAGTTCACGCAAGAGCCTTTCCCACCTTCCCGCCGAGCCCTGGGCTCCTGGCGCCGCGACCCCTCGCCGCACCTCTAGCGCCCTCAAGCTGGTGCTGTGTTACTTCCCTCCTGTTCCCCAGAGACACCCCTAAAATTCCTTCGGTGAGGCAGAGCCCGGAAAATCTCCCCCAAGGAATCCTTGAGCTCGCTCAGCTGGAAAAAGGAGCTCCATCATGAACCGGGGCTTCAGGTTTTTATAAACCCGGCTCATTGGAGCGCCCATTGTCTGCTAAGCAGCCCCCTTGCTGCCAAGAAGGTGAATGCGAACTGGTGTGGGTCACATCCTACGGAGACAGACATCAGGACATCCGAAACTCCTGCAAGCCTGAAGAATAGTCTTTCCACACGTTTGGCCTCTCGCCTTCCTCTTCTTCGGGGAGGTAGGCCAAAGGCGGAATTACAGGTTTTCCAAGACTTCGAATGTAGTTTAGGCATTAGGGGCAGGTAAAAGGGGGCAAATGACCCAATACCTACTGTTACATGTTCATTTCCTAGATGCACATTTACTTTACCAGAATGCCTCAGCTCTGCAGTGAGAGCTTCGCACAAATTTGGTTCTAGTATGTGATGTCCTCTAAATTAGCACCGTACTCCATCTCTAATGAATAAAATAAAACCCCTACGCTGTTCCCTTTACTGCAGAAGCTGCACACACAACTTCTACAACACGTAGTACAGGTAAAACCAGTTCTGAATCCTTAAACTGACTCCGTCCCTTTAGAAAGCTAGAAATTGTTGAGTAGAAAAAGTAGCAAATAGAAAGCTACAAAATTTGCAAATCGTTACTCTCAAAAAAGTAAAGATGACTTTTAACTATACACTGGCCATAAACCCAAATGAGGGTATAGTCATTGTACAGCAAAATGATACAATGCACCAACCCAATATTTACATTAAAATACTTCTAGTCACGTTAACTTTCAAACGAAAAGACTTAAGAATTTATAAATTTTTCCAAAACAACCATAGTAAGACGTGAGACATGAAAAATGTTTTTGAATGCCATCTGAGCAGGAGAGTAAAATCACAAGAATAGTCCTTTAAGTTGCCAGTTACTGGACTGACAAAGCTGACCAAAACTGGTGAATAATTTGTTCCTTTCATAACTACTATCAGATTAATTTAAAAAATAAATTATTTAAAAATCTATGCGAACTATGGGAGTAGATCACAAGACAGTCAGTTGCAGTAGCATGTGATTACGTGGGGGGAGGAAAAGGGGTTGTAAAGGAATATTTCTTTGTTTAGGTGACACAAAGATGAATGGTCTATTGTCTTACTGTCTGAAAAGACAAAAGCAACTCAACAGTGCCATCTCCTGGAGAAATTACCAAATACACTTAAATTCTTAAATGTGTTGCAATTATCTGTACCTTCACTTTTTAATGTTGCTTTTGGTTATCACAGGCTTACGGTACTTATATATTTCCTTCCTCAAACTGTATCAGCTTCGGGGGACATGGTAACTTGCATATGGCACTGAGAAAATATTTGAGTGAATACTTAGTATTTCACTTCTTTTTTAATATCAGAAACCTTAGGAACTATATTTCATTTTTGTCTAATGAGACTGGCATTAAAGTCGCAGTGTCAGTTTTCCTTTGTGAAAGGACTAAAATAGGTAAATTTATCTTATTACTAAAAACCATACCTTTCAGGATACAATCTAATAGCAGAAAGATAACATAAAACAATTACACATCATGAAACCATTGCTTTTCCTAGTAAGATCACTTCTTTGACCTAAGAAAGCTTGTTTTAATATTCTACAAAAAAAAAATCAAAGTTCTACCTCTTTGAAGAATGCCAATTATAATTATAGAAGGTAAGAAATTTACTGTTTTACCAGGAAAAACACAAATACATTGCTTAGCCAGTGGGAAGGAAAACAGTTTAAGCTGAGGCAGAGATAGGTTAAGAGCTATTCCTTAGTGTTTGGGGTTTTTTTTCCCCCTGTGAAATATATGTGATTCAGAGACACAACTCACCTCTCCCAAAAGCAACAAGGGCCTTATCCATTTCTGCATTAACCTGGAGTTAAAAGGGAATATTGTTTGTTGTTTGGCATCCCCACAAGAAGTTTCACAAGAGTCTAGATTCTATCATTTTAACAGCTCTCTGCCTGATGTCTGATATACTTCTTGGCATATAGTAGGTAGATGCTCAATAAATTTGTTACATGAATAAATATAAATTGAGACAGGATTTTCAATGGTATTTTCTATTAGGATTTAATAAAACATCATGATCTTGAGAGAAACAAATGTCCCAATCAACATGCTATATTTAATAGGAGCATTAAAATCACTAGAAGTCTGTGGAACATTGAGTAGCAATATACTATAGTTCTCTACTTTCCTTATGTGTTATTCTAGGGCAAAATCCCTTTCTTCCAAATGTTTCCTGTCATTGCATTATTGAAATGTATATAAATACAAGTTGTTTTTTGCTAAATGAATTCAGTCTACTCAAATAGTCATAATTTATTAACATTATAAAGTACAACTTCCTACACATCAATACACCCAGAGCCCAGCAAATAATTATGGGGTCCCCGTTAGGGAATTAAATCAATTCTGCTTCATCCAAATGTGGATTAGCCATGTTGTAGACAGTGCAAGTATTTTTCAAATCTCCAGATTTCCCTATTACTCAAGAGTTGGTGATCTGAAACAAGAAAATCTGAGCTGTTCAAGTCCCAACAGAACAGCTTCATTTTGTGTGTCCATGGGCACACAGCCTTAGATTTCTCATCTGTAAGTAGTGATACTGATACCATCTTCCCATGGTCATTTTTGAGGCTGAGATGGAATGATTCTTTAAACAATCTTAACCAATCATAAAATGGAAGCTCTAATGGGGGAAGTTCATAATTCATCCCTGAGTCCAATGTAAACTGCTTCTGAATTTTACAATTCTGTTACTGCTATGGCTGAGATCTGTAATTGATTGCCAGTGAGGCCAAGGTCATTAGTTTATTTTTTAGGCCTTCACTTCGTAAACAGGGAAATCTCTTTCCAAAGTGTCTATCAAAACCTGAGAAGTGGTACAACACTATTGATGGCTTAGTCCAACCCATCAGTGTTTTGAAAAGGACTTCAAAACATGTTGATGGTCAATTAGTAGCATCTCCTTATAAGAAAACCAGCAAAAATACATGTTTGCTCAAGAAATTACAGAATGAAATGGATTTACAGTGCTGTTAACATCTATTAACCACTGGGAAGAGCTGGACTAGTATATTTGTCAATACTAAGGGATTAATGGATATAGTTTATTCTGTTATAGAGCATCACTAAAAGTTTTAGAACAGGTATCTTCATAGAATAGGGATATTAGTCCAGGTGTGGTGGCTCATGCCTGTAATCCCAGCACTTTGGGAGGCTGAGGTGAATGGAACATGATATCAGGAGTATTAAGACCAGCCTGACCAATATGGTGAAACCACGTCTCTACTAAAAATACAAAAATTAGCCGGGTATGGTGGTGCAAGCATGTAGTCCCAGCTACCTGGGAGGCTAAGGCAGGAGAATCGCCTGAACTGGGGAGGTGGAGGTTGCAGTGGGATGAGATCGCACCACTGCACTCCAGCCTGGGTGACAGAGCTAGACTCTGTCTCAAAAAAAAAANAAAAAAAAAAAAAAAAAAAAAAAGAATAGGGATATTAATAACACTGTCCTTTTGGCCCACTAACATATGCATTTCAAACAAAAGACTGTATTACAATGGCTGGGAGCAATGGCTCACCCCTACAATCCCAGCACTTTAGGAGCCGGAGGCAGGAGGACCACTTGAGCCCAGGAGTTCAAAACCAACCTGGACAATATAGTGAGACCTCATCTCTTTAAAAAGACTATTAGAAGAGAACAGACAGTCTATAAACAAATATTTTAAAATTTTCTTTATTTCAGAACTGCCTTTATGTACAGACATCATTAAAAAAATGCACATACAATGGAAATTTTCCAAGGAACAGGAGCTGGAAATAAAATTTACGGACATTATTAGAACTGAAATTGTCCCAGAGAAGTTCTGAGGATCAGGCTTCCTTAAATGTCCTTGATAACCTCTTCAAGTTCCTCCTTTGTGAACATGTGGAAATTCTGGCCAGGCTGCACTGTGGCTAGCTGGAAAGAAAACAGAAGGTTTATTAAGCTGGGTTCAATTACCCTGCGGATGGTCCTACCATGGTCGGCAGAAGCTGTGTTGGTGATGCAGCTATTCATTAGAAACTAAGGGATCTGCTGTCCCAAGGATATCCTTTCCAGGCAGCAGGTCCCTAAAATAGCTCTCTGCCTCCAAAATAAAAATGCTTATTGACCAAATTTTCTATTTTAAGGTTAACTCACCACATCATACTTAACCAAATGCCTGGCATCACCGTCATTTATTGAAGTCACTTCAACACGGATCACAAAAGCAGCAACAAAGTACATGGAGTCAGTACTTTTTTCTGTTAAAGACTCCTTTAGAAATATATTTAAAGTATATTTAAATACCTAAAAGTTGAGCTTGTGTGTGTGACCTCAGGTTACTCGGCCACTCTGTGCCTCTATTTCTTCATCTGTACAAATGGGGACAATAATAATAGCTAATTCATAGAGTAGCTGTGAGGATTAAATGTTAATATATATAAAGTGCTTAGACCACTGTTTAGAACATAATGCACCAAATAATCATTAACTATTATTGTTAGACATTTTCTCT